TTTCGTCAAACAGAGAGGACCAGACAACGGATCTGGGAGATAAATCCCCTTCAGAGTAAAAATAGTGTGGAATCTGGAGGTCAGAGGCAGAGAAGAGAGAAAAAAAAAAGCTCTGCCCTTTGGGGTATGAGGAAAAATTTAAACAGGACATGATCTTAAGGGCGCCCCCAGAGAGCGAGGGCCATATTGATGGCGCTTTTTGGAAGGGGAAATGCAGAGGTGTTTGGCGTAAAATTAAGAGCGGGGTGTGCCCCCCGGGGGGTTTATCTGAGTAGTGGGGAAGGGGTGAGGGGTTGAAGGGGGGGGTTGTGGTCTGGTCTGTGTGCAACGGTGTGTGGGGTGTGTTTTGGGGTGTCACGTTGGGGCTCCGGGTGTTTTGTTTGACCCGGGTGTATTATTTGGGTGGGGTATAGGGTGTTTTTTGTGTGTTTGGGTTTTTGGTTTTTTTTTCCGGTTTGGTCAGTGACTCCCAATCGGAGGTAAAGGGTGTCGTGTGGCTCTTTTCTGATTGGGACCAATTTTTTTTACTGTGTTTTTTCCCCTTTGGGGGTTGTGGGTTTTTTTTCCCAAGTCGTCTTTGCATGTGGACTTCTTTTTGCTTTTTTTTTGTATTGACGTGTTTTCAAATTAAAGTCTGTTTTTTGGAAACCCCGGGCGCCTTGGTAAACTTGGGGAGACATAGACGACGTGACAGAAAAAACCCCCATAAGAGGAAAAAGCAGCGTGGTAAGCGGAACGGACCCAGCCCAAAGGTCTGGACAGGGAGAGATTTTGGAGGGAAAAAAAGGGCCTGGATTGGGAGGAGCCCTGGGGGGGTGGATCGCCGTCCATGGAGGAGACAGTGGAGAGGCGACGGGAGGGGAAACAACGGCGGCAGGGCCATCGTCGGAGGGAGAGAGGCAACCCCAAAAAGTTTTTTGGGGGGGGCACAGGCTTGGGGGGTTTGGGCAGCAGGAGGCTGCCACGGGAGATGGGAGAGAAGGCTATCGGATTACGGGGGGCCATGGCGGTAGAGGAAGGGAAGTTTTTGGGGGCACGGGTGAGGGGGGTGATGTGTGTTACCAGTGGTCCGGCCCGTTCTGATCCCCAGTTTAAAGCCGTGGTTGGTTCCCCGACGGACCGGCCTGTTCCTACTCCCCGCATAAGCCCACGGGTGGTCGCAGTCCCGCCCCGGCCCCGGGTTTCCCGCTCCCCGCACAGAGTCTCGGTGCGCGTGCCCCCCCGGTCCCGGTGTTCCCGCCACCGCAAACCCAAGCCTACGGGGGCGGAGCCCCCCCGGCGTTCCCGCCCCCCGACAAAACCCAGGGGGCGGCCCGCCCCCTGGTGTTGCGCTCCCGCCTAGCCCAGATGGGTTAGCCCGGGACCACCCGTTTCCGGACCAGCACTGGCCTTTTTGTGGTCCCCGGTCCAGCGCCTGTTGCATCCCCGCAAAGCGGATGCGTGTCTCAGCCCGGGACCACCCGTTCCGGACCAGACCGGTATAGTGGTCTCGGCCCGGCCGAGCGGCCGTTGCCCAACGGGGCTGAACTGCCGTTGCCCAACGGCGCCTGAATGCCGTCTGCCCAACGCCGTCTGAAAAGTCGTTGCCAAGGCGCAAAGCCCCCCGTCGCCAGAGCCTTCAGAGCCGTCCGCCAGACCCGGGGCCGTAAAGCCTTCCGCCAGACAGGGCCCCTAGAGCCTTCCGCCAGACAGGTCGCCAGGCCCTTTCCCCCAGAAGGATCGCCAGGCATTCCGCCAGACAGGATCGGCCAGGCCCTTTCCCCCAGACAGGGTCACCAGAGCCTTCCGCCAGACAGGATAGCCCGAGCCTTTGGCCGACAGGACAGCCCGATCCGTAGCCAGCCATGAGCAGCCAGATCCGTCGGCCAGCCAGAGCAGCCAGATCGCGGGCCCGCCCCGAGCAGCCCAAACGTCAGCAGCCATGAGCAGCCGACGTCACCGCCATAGAGACACCGTCAGCCGCCATGAGCAGCCAGATCCCCGGGGGCCAGCCCTGGGCAGCCAGATCCGTCGGCCGCCATGAGCAGCCAGATCGTCAGCCACATGAGCAGCAGATCCCTTTAGCCGCCATGAGCCGTGGCCCCGGATCCGCCATTGGGGCCCGGTGCGTCCCTTAGCCCGGGTGGGTTTTCCCCTTACTGGTGCGCCCCCTTGTCGGTACTTCCCCTTTGTCCGGTGCTCCCCCTTGTCCCGGTTTCTGCCTCTCGTAGTCCGGTGCTGCCCCTTAATCCGGTGGGGGTCAGTTGGAGGAGGCGACGAAAGCGGGTAGTGGACTATGTGGGGGTGGGGACCACGACCGGAGCCGAGAACCACCGCCGAGGAGGTATGCCCGCCCAGCCCTCCCTTTGTTCTAGCCGTATTGAGGCGCGGTCGCAGTCCGCGCCTTTTAGGGGGGGGTACTGTCACGCTTCTGGCTCGGGACTGTGTTGTTTGAGCCAGGGTGTATTCATTGGTGGTTGTTGGTATAGGGTGTGTTCATTTGTTGTGTTTGGTTTTGGTTTGTTTCCATGTTTGGTCAGTGACTCCATCGAGGTAACGAGTGTCCAGCTGTCGGCTCGTTATCTCTGATTGGGAGCCATATTTATACTGTGTGTTTTCACCTGTGGTTGTGGGTTTTTGTTCCAAGTTCAGTCATTGTCACTGTTGGACTTCACTTTCGTCTTTTGTTTTGTATTGACGTGCTTTTCTAATTAAAGTCATGTTTCTTGGACACGCTGCGCCTTGGTCATACTTGGACGACATAGACGACCGTGACAGTATGTGTGTGTAACGGCATATCCCTGTTCTCTCTCTCAGAGCCCTTCTTTGTGAGTGCAGTTGAGTGGGGGCCTCACATCTACTTCTTCTTCAGAGAAATGGCCATGGAGTTCCATCACCTGGAGAAGGTACACACACACACACAATAACACACACACACACACACACAGTATTGTACAGCTAACCTTGTGGGGACACACAATTCAGTCCTATTCAAAATCCTATTTTCCCTAACCCTAAACCTAACCCTAGCTCTTAACCCTAACCCTAAACCTACCAACTAACCCTAACCTAACTACCCTACCCTAACCTACCCTAAACCTACCCTTGTCTCCTAACCTAACCCTAAACCTAACGTCCCCTAACTCTAACCCTAAACCCTAAAACCTAACCCTCACTCCTAACCCTAACACTAAACCTAACCCTAACCCTAAACCTAACCCTAGCTCTTAACCCTAACCCTAAAACTAACCCTAGCTCCTAACCCTAACCCTTAATGTAATCTAACCCTAACACTAATTCTAACCTTAACCCTAAACTCCCTAGAAATAGCATTTGACCTCGTGGGACTAACAAAAAATGTCTCCAGTTGGTCAAATTTTTGTTCGTTTACTATTCTTGTGGGGACCAGAAGAATAGTAAACACGTCCAGACACACACACACACACACACACACACACACACACACACGGAATTGCACCTACTTGGGATAAGGTGGACAGAATCCATGGGATTTGTACATTATACAGTGAATTGCCTCTTATTCTTTATAAAGCTTTGACTCTCTTTGTGTGTGCAGGTGATGGTATCTCGTGTGGCGCGGGTGTGTAAGGGGGACCTGGGGGGCTCTCAGAGGGTGTTGGAGAAACAGTGGACATCGTTCCTGAAGGCCAGACTGAACTGTTCTGTCCCAGGAGACTCCCACTTCTATTTCAACCTACTCCACGCCACCAGCCCCATACTCAACATGAACGGCAGAGACGTCATACTAGGACTGTTCTCTACACCGCCCAACAGGTACACACACACACGTGTACACACACACACAATCATGCATGAAATTGCAGCACCCCCCCCCCCCTCCCCCCCCCGCAGTTCTGACACATTTAATAATCTTTCCTTCCCCATCATCTTTCCCCTTTAAAACAAAACCTGTCCTTCCTTTTCTCTCTCTCTCTCTCTCTCTCTCTCTCTCTCTCTCTCTCTATCCCTCTCTCCATCTATCCCTCTCAGTATCCCGGGGTCTGCAGTGTGTGTGTTTGACATGCAGCAGTTGGCCAGGGTGTTTGAGGGAAGATTCAAGGAGCAGAAATCTCCAGAATCCATCTGGACGCCCGTGCCTGACGAACTTGTGCCCAAACCCAGGTATGCAGTACATTTGACTTGTACTGATATTGATTGTATAACCAAAATTTTTCCCCCCAAAATTTTTTTTTTTTTTTTTTTTCCCCCCCCCCCCCCCCCCCCCCCCCCCCCCCCCCCTTTTTTTTTTTTTTTTTAAAAAAAACCCCCTTTTGAAAAAAGGGGGAAAATTTTTCCGGGGTTTTTTGGGAGGGGGGGTTTTTTTTTGGGGGGGGGGGGGGAAAAACCCCCCCCCGGGGGAGAAAAAAAAAACCCCCCAAAAGGGAAGGTTTTTGGGGGGGGGTTTTTAAAAAAAAAAAAAAAAAACCCCCCCCCCCCCCAAAAAAGGAAATTTTTTCCCCAAAAAAAAAAATTTTTAAAAATTTTTTTAAAAAAATGGGGGGTTTTTTTCCCCCCCCCCCCTTTTTTTTTTAAAAAATTTAAAAAAAAAAAAAATTTTTTCCTTTCCCCTTTTTATTTTTAAATTTCTCTTTCTCTTTCCCCTTTTCCCCCCCCCCCCCCCCCCCCCCCCCCCCCCCCCGGGGGGGCCCCCTTTTCCCCACCCCCTTCCCCCCCCCCCCCCCCCCCTCCCCCCCCCCCCTTTTTCCCCCCCCCCCCCCCGGGGCCCCTTTTTTTTTTTCCCCCCCCCCGGGGGCCCCCCCCCCTTTGGGGTTTAAACCGGCCCCCCCCCCGGGGCCCCCCCCCCCTTTTCCCCCCCCCCCCTTTCCCCCCCCCCCCCTTTTTTTTTTTCCCCCCCCCCCCCTTTTTTCCCCCCTTTTTTTTTTTTTCCCCCCTTTCCCCCCCCCTTTTTTTTCCCCCGGGGCCCCCCCCCCCAAAATTTCCCGGGCCCTTTTTTTTCCCCCCTTTTTTTGGGGGCCCCCCTTTTTTTTTTTTCCCCCCCCTTTCCTTCCTTTGGGGGGCCTTGGGGCCCCCCCTTTTGGGGGCCCCCCCCGGGGGGTTTTTAAAAAAACCCCCAAAAAAAAAAGGGGGAAAACCCCCCCCTTTTTTTTTTTCCCCCTCCCCCCTTTATTTTTTCCCCCCCCCCCCCGGGGGGGAAGCCCCCCCCCCCCCCCCCTTTTCCCCAAAATTTTTTTTTCCCCCCCAAATGGGGCCCCTTTTTTTTTTCCCCCCCCCCGGGGAAAGGGGGGGTTTTTTTCCCCCCCCCAAAATTTTTGGGGGGGGTTTTTTGGGGTTTTTTCCCCGGAAAAAAAAAGGGGGGTTTCCCCCCCCTTTTTAACCCTTTTAAAGGCTTTTTAAAAAACCCCCCCCCCCTTTTTCCCCCCCCCCGGGGTTTTTTTCCCCTGTTCCCTTTTCCCCCGGGCCGTTTTTTTTTTTTTTTTGTTTCTTTTTTTTTCCCCCCCCCCCCCCCCCCCTTTTCTCAAGGGCCCCCAAAAAAGGGCCCCCCCCCCCCGGGGGGGGGGCAAAATTTTTCCGGGAAAAAAAAAAAAAAAACCCCCCCAACGGGGGGGGCCCGGGGGGGGGGAAAAAAAAAAGGGGGGGGGGGGGGAAAAAAACCCCAAGGGGGGGGGGGGGCCCCCCCCAAAAAAAAAAAACCCCGGGGGGAAAAAAAAAGGGGGGGGGGGGAAAAAAAAGGGGGCCCTTTTTTTTCCCCCCCCGTTTTTTCCCCCCCCGGGGGCCCCCCCGGGGGAAAAAAAAGGGGGGGGCCCTTTTTGGGGGGCCCCCCCCCCAAAAAAAAAACCCCGGGGGGTTTTTTTTTTCCCCCCCCCCCTCCCCCCCCCTCCCCCCCCCCCCTTTCCCCCCCCCTTTTCCTCTCCCCCGGCCCCCCCCCCCTCCCCCCCTTTTCCCCCCCCCCTCCCCCCCCCCCTTTTTCCCCCCCCCCCCCCCCCCCCCCCCCCCCCCCCTTTTTCCCCCCCCCCTTCCCCCCCCTTCCCCCCCCCCCCCCTTTTTTTTTCCCCCCTAAATTTTTTTTTTTTTCCCCCCCCCCTTTTTTTTTTTTTTTAAAAAAATTTTTTTTCCCGGCCCCCCTTAAAAGGGGGCCCCCCCCCCCCCAAAAAAAACCCCCCCACCCCAACCCCGGCCCAAAGGGGAAAAAAAAAAACCCCCCCCCAAAACCCCCCCCGGGCCTGACCAAAAATTTTTTTTGGGGGGCAAATTTCCCCCCCCCAAAGGGGAAAAATTTTTTTCCCCCGGTTAGCCCCCAATTTTTTTTTTTTGGGTTTTTAAAAAAAATTTTTAATTTTTTTTTTTTTTTTAAAAAAAATTTAAAAATTTCCCCTTTTGGGGGGGGTTTTTTTCCCTTCATTTTCCCCGGGAAAATTTTTTTTTAAGGAAAATTTTTGGGAAAAAAATTTTTTTTCCCGGGTTTGGGGTTTTAAAAAATTTTTAAAATTTTTTTTTTTTAAATTAAAAAAAAAGGGGGGTTTTTTCCCCCTTTTTTATTTGGGGGGAAAAAAAGGTTTTAAAAAAACCAAAAAAAAAAATTTTAAAAAAAAATTTTTTTTTTTTAAAAAAAAAACACTTTTTTCCCCTTTTTTTTTTAAAAAAAAAATTTTAAAGGGGGGGGTTTGGGGGGGTGGGAAAAAATTGGGGGGGGGGGGAAAAAAAGGGGGGGGGGGGGGGAAAGGTTTGGGGGGGGGGGGGGGGGGGGTTTTGGGGGGGGGGGAAAGGGGGGGGGGGGGGGGGGGGGGGGGGGGTAAAAATTTTTTGGGGGGGGGGGGGGAAAAATTTTGGGGGGGGGGGGGAAAAAAGTTGGGGGGGGGGGGAAAATAAAAAAGGGGGTTGGGGGGGGGGAAAAAATTGGGGGGGGGGGAAAAAAAAATTGGGGGGGTGCTGGAGATTTTTTAAAGGGGGGGGGGGGGGAATGAAAAATTTGGGGGGGGGGGGGGGGAAAAAAAGGAGTAGACACCACAAAGACCATCTCAACCATCTCCATCAGGCTGATCAGATCTCCATGTGTGTGTATAGGAGCTGTCTGACCTCCAGAGACCCCTACTGTGGCTGGACCAGAGGCAGCACCTGCTCCTTCCTCAGACCAGGCACACGGTGAGACAGCTCCCCATAGCTTTATCCAATTGATTGTGTGTTCATCTGTAGATGTCAGTCTGATCATCTGTTATGTTTATTATATTACAGGCTTCCTTTTCAACAAGACAATGAGTATGGCAACTTCTCCCATCTTGGAGACTGTGATGGTAGGTATCTTGCCTTTACCATGTAGCTCTGTGGTACAATCTGTTCTTTCTTTCACTCAGTTCATGTTCCACCTAGTGGCATAATCATGCATTACAAGAGTTTGCTACACAGATGTTAAAGGGAAATTTCAAAATGTTTCAACTTCATATTCATCATCTCCAGCACCATCCCAACATCAACATATGTGAAAATGGCTCGTTTCTATGTTTTATAGTAAAAAGATAGAGGAAGATAAGTGTTTCCAATGACATCATCAACCAATTAGTAGGTAATGCCTACTCATAATTGGTTAAAATGACACGATGCACACCAATGATGTCATTGGGAACACTTATCTTCCTCTGTCTTTTTTACTACAAAACCTAGAAATGCACAATTTTCACATATGTTGAAGTTGGGGGGTGCTGGAGATGATGAATATGAAGTTAGGGGGGTGCTGGAGATGATGAATATGAAGTTGGGGGGGTGCTGGAGATGATGAATATGAAGATGGGGGGGTGCTGGAGATGATGAATATGAAGTTAGGGGGGTGCTGGAGATGATGAATATGAAGTTGGGGGGGTGCTGGAGATGATGAAAATGAAGTTGGGGGGGGTGCTGGAGATGATGAATATGAAGATGGGGGGGTGCTGGAGATGATGAATATGAAGTTAGGGGGGTGCTGGAGATGATGAATATGAAGTTGGGGGGGTGCTGGAGATGATGAAAATGAAGTTGGGGGGTGCTGGAGATGATGAATATGAAGATGGGGGGGTGCTGGAGATGATGAATATGAAGTTGGGGGGGTGCTGGAGATGATGAATATGAAGATGGGGGGGGTGCTGGAGATGATGAATATGAAGTTGGGGGGGTGCTGGAGATGATGAATATGAAGTTGGGGGGGTGCTGGAGATGATGAATATGAAGCTGAAAACATTTGAAATGTCCCTTTAATGCACATTGAACAAATTCAAATGCTGAGGTAAAGGAATGTCTATGGCAACATATGCAATTCAAATGTTTGTTTTTGCAAGGTACATTTTTTCTTTGTCATGGCATCAATTAAAAACCCAATCACATCCCTAATGCACATAACATCACAATAATTCTACATACCGTTCATATACAGTTGAAGTCGGAAGTTTACATACACCTTAGCCAAATATATTTAAACTCAGTTTTTCACAATTCCTGACATTTAATCCTAGTAAAAATTCCCTGTCTTAGGTCAGTTAGGATCACCACTTTATTTTAAGAATGTGAAATGTCAGTATAATAGTAGAGAGAACGATTTATTTCAGCTTTTATTTCTTTCCTCACATTCCCAGTGGGTCAGAAGTTTACGTACACTCAATTAGTATTTGGTAGCATTGCCTTTAAATTGTTTAACTTGGGTCAAACGTTTCGGGTAGCCTTCCACAAGCTTCCCATAATAAGTTGGGTGAATTTTCTGATAGAGCTGGTGTAACTGAGTCAGGTTTGTAGGCCTCCTTGCTCGCACACGCTTTTTCAGTTCTGCCCACTAATTTTCTATAGGATTGAGGTCAGGGCTTTGTGATGGCCACTCCAATACCTTGACTTTGTTGTCCTTAAGCTATTTTGCCACAACTTTGGAAGTATGCTTGGGGTCATTGTCCATTTGGAAGACCCATTTGCGACCAAGCTTTAACTTCCTGACTGATGTCTTGAGATGTTGCTTCAATATATCCACATAATTTTCCTTCCTCATGATGCCATCTATTTTGTGAAGTGCACCAGTCCCTCCTGCAGCAAAGCAACCCCACAGCATGATGCTGCCACCCCCGTGCTTCACGGTTGGGATGGTGTTCTTCGGCTTGCAAGCCTTCCCCTTTTTCCTCCAAACATAACGATGGTCATTATGGCCAAACAGTTCTATTTTTGTTTAATCAGACCAGAGGATATTTATCCAAAAAGTACGATATTTGTCCCCATGTGCAGTTGCAAACCGTAATCTTGCTTTTTTATGGCGGTTTTGGAGCAGTGGCTTCTTCCTTGCTGAGCAGCCTTTCAGGTTATGTCGATATAGGACTCGTTTTACTGTGGATATAGATACTTTTGTACCTGTTTCCTCCAGCATCTTCACAAGGTCCTTTGCTGTTGTTCTGGGATTGATTTGCACTTGTCGCACCAAAGTACGTTCATCTCTAGGAGACAGAACGCGTCTCCTTCCTGAGCGGTATGACGGCTGTGTGGTCCCATGGTATTTATACATGCGTACTATTGTTTGTACAGATGAACTTTTGGAAATTACTCCCAAGGATGAACCAGACTTGTGGAGGTCTACCATTTTCTTTTTGAGGTCTTAGCTGATTTCTTTTGATTTTCCCATGATGTCAAGCAAAGAGGCACTGAGTTTGAAGGTAGGCCTTTAAATACATCCACAGGTACACCTCCGATTTACTCAAATTATGTGAATTAGCCTATCAGAAGCTTCTAAAGCCATGACATCATTTTCTGGAATTTTCCAAGCTGTTTAAAGGCACAGTCAACTTAGTGTATGTAACCTTCTGACCCACTGGAATTGTGATACAGTGAATTATAAGTGAAATAATCTGTCTGTAAACAATTGTTGGAAAAGTTAATTGTGTCATGCACAAAGTAGATGTCCTAACCGACATTCCAAAACTATAGTTTGTTAACAAGAAATTTGTGGAGTGGTTGAAAAACGAGTTTTAATGACTCCAACCTAAGTGGATGTACATTTCCGACTTCAACTGTATATTGTATGTTTGTGTTTATGTGTGTATTGTATTTGCATTTACAGTGGTGACAGAAAATTGCCATGTTTTTCTGTCCGTCAGTAATGTGATTAGCTAGTGTGAAATGTCAGGGCTTTGAATTCCCTCTCCTAATATTAGTGTCTGTCAGAAGCCTCCCATTATGACAGCTTTTAATTGGCTGACTGCTTCAATAAATGCATTTTGATTGGTTGACAGAGGAGCGAATGTCTTGATCATTGAAGTAAAGCCTACAGGACTGAGACTTATTCTGAGACAGTGTTCTGCTGTCAACGACTGTCTGCCTCAGTTTGACAAGTACTTGCCAGAAAATATGTACAAAAGAAAAATGAGGACAAGCAGTGCTCAAAGCTGAGATTCTGAGAACGTCTTCAACTTTGATACATTTCTGGGCTCCTAACAAACACATCTCAAATCTGTCTCTGTGTCAATTAGGATGTCTCTGCTTTTCATCAGCAAACTGTTCCAGGACCTGCAATCTGTTCCAACTCCAATTATACACTGCAATCTCATCTGTTTTATCGCAGATCTATAATCTGGGGAGCGTTCTGATTCCATAACATACATTACAATCTCATCTATTTTATAGAACCTACAATCTGTTCCAAACTCCAAAGTCCATAATATCGCAATCCCATCTATACTATCTATCATAAATCTATAACCTATAACCTGCAATTAATACATTCCTTTGCCAGAACATTGCAATCTCATTTGTTATTTATCACTCTCTAGAACCTGACCTGTTACAGTTCCAGAACTTTAGCTTTCTCACCCGGATATAGGCCAGTTTACTGCAGAGTCAGCCTGTTCCATGGGGAGTGGTGAAAGCACGGAGCCAGAACCAGAACTAGGTCCAGGGCCTGGCAGACATTTTCTGTGTCTGTGCAGATGGGCGTGATTAGAGCGGTGGAAATATTTACTGAAATAAATGACGTGTTTTAGGGAGAAACTCACTGGCCTGCCCAGAGCTCCTGATTACAGAATGGGAACTCTGAGAAGTTTAGTGTCTTCCCCTTTTTACTCATGACAAGTGCAGCTTTCAGCCCAGTTGAGTGGGCTGTACTCCAGCCAGAACAGTACCCTAGCCAGCAGAACCCCAAGGCTGTGCTGGAGAAAACAGAAAAGGAGATGCTTATCTTCTGCCATTATAAAATGTTATGGTAGATTACGGTAATACAGAATAAGATTATGCTCTTGGATAATACAATATAGGAATATAATCTTTGAGATCAGGCAAATAATGTTTAGTTACTTAAGGATAAAACATCTAAAAAATTACAATAACAAAAGTGGAGAGATTTATAAAGGAGAATGAATACACGGAGGTAGAGGAGAGTGAAGGAATGAGATAATCGGTTTACGCTGTAATGTTGAGCGTTTTTATATTCTCTCTTGCCATTAGCCTTATCTCTCGGGGATAGATGCACATAACGGAAATGGTAGTAGCATCTGTCATCAGACTGTGGGATACAACGACTAACAAGGAATTTTGTTCCGGTACGCTGATTTTTCATCACTGATAATTTGGACAAATCACGATTTCGCAGGTGCTCACATCTTTGGAATTTCCAAAGGGGAGGTGACATTTGGCCCACAGCTTGGCCGAAACTGGCTGAGAGATTTCATTGAGAGGGGTGGAGACTTATCTATTCTCGTTAGAACATTTTCTAACACATCTCCCCCAAGAACTTAATTGAGCATCTGATGCAATTACACAAGATTTTAGTTCTAAGTGTCCGGGATGAACCTTATGATTCCTTTCTCTTGGCTCATCTCTCTCCTCCAGGTGTCATACAGCAGAGTCTGCTGATCGAGCCGGAGAGCCTGGTCTCCATCAACCTGCTGGTGGCGTCTGCAGTCTCAGCCTTCACCATCGGTGCGGCGCTCTCGGGCCTGGCTGTCTGCTGGATTATGGCCCACAAGCCCGGAAACCGTCGCCATGGCAACAACACCCCCCAGTCCACCATCCAGCGCCAGGAGAGGGGGATATTGACATCAGGAGGAGGGATGGGGGGATCGGTCCTCAGTGTGACCCGTCAGGGAGGAGGGGATAGACCCTGCTCTCAGGGCGGCGAGACACTGTTTGTGATGCCCAACGGCTGGGGGAAGTCAGGGGAGCTGGACCCAGGGTTCCTGCCTACTCCGGAGCACACGCCCCAGCAGAAAAGACGCGGGCTCAGGCTGTCTGATTCTGGATCAGGGGGGTGGGATAACAGTCAGACCTACCTGGGAGGGAGTACCATGGGGCTGGCGTCTCCCTGCCCTCTCCCTTGTCCCCCACACCCCTCCACCGCTGTCTACCTGACCACCAGACTATTCCAGGGGGGAGGAGGAGGGAGGCACGGGGGTGAGGAGCGAGGAAGAGGAGGGGAGACGCCTCGCCAGCACTATGTGTGCCTGAGCAAGCCCCGGGGGGAGAAGGGCAGGAGTGGGACACCAAAGTCGGCACTTCGTAAGTCGGCAGGGGAGTACGTGTACCCCATGACCCCCCAGGACTCTCCGGATAGGAGGAGGGTGGTGTCAGCCCCCAGCGCCCCTATGGAGTTTGGGGAACCCCTGCCAATCCGCTGGCCTCCCCAGGAAGGCTACATCCTCAGCAGCCAGGGCATGGTCCCTGTACCTCCATCCTCTATGCCCACCCCCAACGGCCAGCAGTACGTGGCCCAGCACCACACCCCTGGGCCGGGCAGGGCTCAGCTGAGAGGGGCCCTGGGGAGAGGAGAGCTGGGGGAGCTGGTGGATCTCAGCCAGCTGCTGAGTAAGAAGAGTGCCAATGAGAGGACTCACAACGGGCAGTGAGAAAGCAGGAAAACCATATGTCTCTTTCTACATCTTTCACTTTATCTCTGTTCTACCTTTCCTCTCCCTCCCTCTCTCTTTCTCTCTGACCCTCTTTCTCTGTCATTGTCATTCAGTCCTCCTGATATCTCTGTATCACTCTGGCGGACTCCTGGGGCTGTTCTCTCTGGCAGACTCCTGAGGCTGTTCTCTCTGTGACTGGTTGATGCTGCTGTCACTCAGACCCTGCTTGGCTGTGATTGGCCAGTGAAAGTGAGGTTGTTGCTGTGTCTGCATTGCAGAGCTGCCTCTCCCCTCTGGCTGCTTAGAGAGGGGAAGAGAGGAGGAGCGAGAGATAGAGGGATTGAAAGAGTTTGCTAGACAGCGGAATTATTTCAAAATAACATGTTAAGAGAGAACCATAAATAGGAAGCAACATGCAAAGAGACCCAGAGACAGACACTTGGTGACAGCCTTCCCTGTGCAGCAAACAGGGCAACAAGGACTGACCTAACAACATTGCCACAGAGCCCACTGTCAGGTGTCAGAAGACGAGACCCAGTGGACATCACTCCTACACAATGTACTCTGTCCACCTTCCAGTGCAGACTGAGTGGCACTCTCTGGCAATAAGACAATGGAGGACACTGAAACATGAATTGTAAACATATTACTTTTAAGCATCTTGCTGCGGGTGAATGAAACAGACACCCCACTGGGCACATACGTCAGTTCAACGTCTAGTTTTGATTTACAGTTGACAAGTCAACCAAAAATGTGATTTGATTTGTAATAACGTGAATTGAATGTGAAATCAACAAAAAATGTCACCATGTCATTGGATTTAGGTAAAAATACGAAATGCCTTTACGTTGATTACTTTTTTAGTCCACGTTGATTCAATGTCATTACATAGATTTTGGGGGTTGAAATGACGTGGAAACAATGTTGATTCAACCAGTTTTTGCCAAGTGGGACTGTTCAGTCTCAGTGACACTGAGGTCATTCTGACTCTGACTCTGAACGTGACGAGAATATCTGATGAAGAGTGTTGAAAGGAAGCGGCAATGAAGATTTAATAACCTGCCCTCCAGCAGCCTCCCGGACACACACACACACACACACACACACACACACACACACATACACACACACACACATACACACACACACACACACACACACACACATACACACACACACACATACACACACACACACACAGATTTACAGGTCAGTTTTAATAAACTCACCCTGCAGGGGACCAGTCCTTGGTATCGTGGTCAGTGGGCCATTGATTCCCAGTGTATGTGAGGTGAGAGGGCCATACAGTACTGCTCCTAACCTGTCTCACTGGGCCGTACAGTACTGCTCCTAACCTGTCTCACTGGGCCGTACAGTACTGCTCCTAACCTGTCTCACTGGGCCGTACAGTACTGCTCCTAACCTGTCTCACTGGGCCGTACAGTACTGCTCCTAACCTGTCTCACTGGGCCGTACAGTACTGCTCCTAACCTGTCTCACTGGGCCATACAGTACTGCTCCTAACCTGTCTCACTGGGCCGTACAGTACTGCTCCTAACCTGTCTCACTGGGCCGTACAGTACTGCTCCTAACCTGTCTCACTGGGCCGTACAGTACTGCTCCTAACCTGTCTCACTGGGCCGTACAGTACTGCTCCTAACCTGTCTCACTGGGCCGTACAGTACTGCTCCTAACCTGTCTCACTGGGCCGTACAGTACTGCTCCTAACCTGTCTCACTGGGCCGTACAGTACTGCTCCTAACCTGTCTCACTGGGCCGTACAGTACTTCTCCTAACCTGTCTCACTGGGCCGTACAGTACTGCTCCTAACCTGTCTCACTGGGCCGTACAGTACTGCTCCTAACCTGTCTCACTGGGCTGTACAGTATTGCAATCACCCAATGCTCTACCCTTCTCTCCACACGTTGTGTCGGCTGTGAAATTATTGGCCATTAAAAAGTACATGGAGTGGACGGATGGAGTGATGAAATGAAGGAGTGAACAGATGGAGTGATGAAATGAAGGAGTGGACGGATGGAGGGATGAAATGAAGGAGTGAACGGATGGAGGGATGAAATGAAGGAGTGAACGGATGGAGGGATACAATTAAGGAGTGAACGGATGGCGGGATGAAATTAAGGAGTGAACGGATGGAGGGATGAAATGAAGGAGTGAACGGATGGAGGGATGAAATGAAGGAGTGAACGGATGGAGGGATGAAATGAAGGAGTGGACGGATGGCTGGATGAAATGGTGCTATGTCATTAGAGAGAATGCCTGGCTGGCAGAAATAGTGCTGACATTCCAGTCTGACTCTCCTTCAGCCCAGTGAGTGAGTTATAGTCCCATGGTCGCAGTGAGACAGGTTAGGAGCAGTACTGTACGGCCCAGTGAGACAGGTTAGGAGCAGTACTGTACGGCCCAGTGAGACAGGTTAGGAGCAGTACTGTACGGCCCAGTGAGACAGGTTAGGAGCAGTACTGTACGGCCCAGTGAGACAGGTTAGGAGCAGTACTGTACGGCCCAGTGAGACAGGTTAGGAGCAGTACTGTACGGCCCAGTGAGACAGGTTAGGAGCAGTACTGTACGGCCCAGTGAGACAGGTTAGGAGCAGTACTGTACGGCCCAGTGAGACAGGTTAGGAGCAGTACTGTACGGCCCAGTGAGACAGGTTAGGAGCAGTACTGTATGGCCCTCTCGCCTCACATACACTGGGAATCAATGGCCCACTGACCATGATACCAAGGACTGGTCCCCTGCAGGGTGAGTTTATTAAAACTGACCTGTAAATATGTGTGTGTGTGTGTGTGTGTGTGTGTGTGTGTGTGTGTGTGTGTGTGTGTGTGTGTGTGTGTGTGTGTGTGTGTGTGTGTGTGTGTGTGTGTGTGTGTGTGTGTGTGTGTGTGTGTGTTTGTGTGTGTGTGTGCAGATGCACTGGCTATGCGTGTGATTGATAGTCACTGTGGTTGTGATTTAAACGACTGTCCTGACTCTTACTCATCCATGTTAATCGACATTTTCCCAGAGCTCAAATTGGATCATATATTCTTCCCATCAAAGTGTCCAATGAGAGACTTGCCATTACTTTAAGTGTCCAATGAGAGACTTGCCATTACTTTAAGTGTCCAATGAGAGAATTGCCATTACTTTAAGTGTCCAATGAGAGACTTGCCATTACATTAAGTGTCCAATGAGAGACTTGCCATTACTTTAAGTGTCCAATGAGAGACTTGCCATTACTTTAAGTGTCCAATGAGAGACTTGCCATTACTTTAAGTGTCCAATGAGAGACTTGCCATGACTTTAAGTGAACATGGAGAGCGGGATAGATAGAAAGATAAGAAAGACAGGAGGATAGAGAGAGAAAGAGAGGGGCAACACTGAGACAAGGAAGGAGATGTGATCTGCCATTCTCAAGTCATCAGAGCTACAGCTCCAGTCAAATCCAGAAGGAAAATTAGGTCAGCTCTGTTGTGAACCTGAGCAGCAATGACTTGTATATAAGGACTCAACCTCAGTCAGATGTCTGCGTTACCATTGGAGGAGCACAATGATGACGTCACACATGGGGTGTTGTTTCAAGGTCCAGCCACAGTTACAAGGCACTCATAATCACACCATGCCGATGACTTTTCACCCTTTGTTGTCAATACAATATTATGTGCCAACATTCTAAACTGTACTTTTGGTTGACGTACTGTCTCATTGGACCACAGAAGCAAAAAGGAAACATATTTTAAAGTGCCATGAAATCCATGTCAGTACATTTGATTCTTTATACATTTGATACTGTGATGTTGTATAATTTATTCTAATGTGTACAGTGTTAATTCCTGTGTACAATGAAGAACTTCACAATTTCGCCTTCAGATAGCATACTGAATGTTGGTTTTCTTTCGTAACTCTTTTGCCTTTACTGCTCTAATCCATTTGATAAAGGTGGTGACACTGAACGTCTGTTTATAAACCACTTATAAACAGCAGTACAGAATTTGGGTCAGTTGTTCCTCAAATATTCTGGCAATGTATTGATTGTTTTCCTCCACACCAACAAACTGCCATACTGAGGAACCTTAAAGTCAAAGGCTACATCCTGTTCATAATACTGTGCAGTAATACATAATGGAAAAGCACAATAACTTTAATTTTTCTTATTTGAAAAGTAGTTGTACTGTAACGTTATCTATGTATATTTGTGTAAATAATCGATTTGAAGGTATCTTATCCATGTGGTTTTAAGGTTGTTGTTTTTTCATACTTGACACGGGCCTTTTGTCTTTGACATGTTGGTTTTGGTTGACTATGAATGAGATGTAACAGAGCAGGCTGGTGGGAGGAGCTATAGGAGGATGGGCTCATTGTAATGTCTGGAATGGAATCAATGGAACGGAGTCAGACGTGTGGTTTCCATGGTTTCCATGTGTTTGATACCGTTGTATTTATTCCATTTTAGCCATTACAATGAGCCTGTCCTGCTATAGCTCCTCCCACCACCCTCCACTGAGATGCAAGTACAGGAATTACAGTATTTACATTTGACTGAAAGCTGAAGGTAGCTGTTTTCTTTCTAAAAAGAGTAGAATCACAGGCTTGTCCTGCTGAGCTGAATGAAAAAGGTCTCCAGATTATTTGATTTACGATTTACAGCTGTACACACACACACACACACACACACACACACACACACACACACACACACACACACACACACACACACACACACACACACACATACACACACACACACACACACACACACACACGCACACACGCACACACACACAATAAACACTTAATGTGAGAGGATACAGCAGTCAGTTAATATGGAGAACCCTGTCAATATATTCTTTATTATTCTAATAAACCATGAAGATCTATTTATCTTTGTTGTATCTTTAAGGATTGTTAATTTGACTGTTATGTAATACATTAGAGGGTTCTTTCAAGCAACCACTTTCATCACCACTAGATGGCGCTAGAAACTAGTCTTTGCAGGT